CCAGGGGTACAGCTCACGCCCCTGACCTGACAGAGGCTCTATAAAGGAAAGCCACATTTTATTTGGCTTTGTGAGATGGAAGCCCTTTCTTATTTCTCTGTATGAATGTCTATGCTTATTAAATTATGCCTTTTTTTTCTTTTTTCGCTCTTTATTGAATTAAGTGACGGTTTACAGTGCAGATCATCAGTTTTACATTCATCAAATCATGTATTTTGCTTCATGGGTCATCAGTTAACAGTATTGTGTGTGTGTGTGTGTGGGTTATGTACCCAAGAGTCTATTCTGACACATAGCAATCCTGTATACGGTTTCCGAGGCTGTAAATCTAGCTAGTTTTAAAGGAAGCCAGCTCAGAAGCAGGAACCAATGATCCCAGAACCATCAAGAAAGAAGAGCATGAATGGAGCGTGAGATCCCTACCTAATAAAGCAGGCTACACCAGAGGTGAGGGCAGAGGCCTCCGCTGGGGGTCATTTAGGCTGTCTCCACCCTTTTATGTGTCTTTTGTAGACCACATACTGAATGGTCCTGCTTTCTTATCCATTCTGCTCTCTTGGCTGGTGCATTTAATCCATTTACATTCAGTGTAATTATCAATATGTATTAGTTGTGATTGCTGTCATTTTGCTGTGTGTGTGTGTGTGTGTGTGTAAACTACTGGTTTCTGTGTTCCATATAATTTTCAGTGCTGAGTTAATTCTGTTTCTGAGGGGTTTTGTTTTTTTCCATTTTCATTTCTCTTGTGTAATGTTTACTAAATCTTCCTGATTTTCCTCTTTTTTATTTTGATGTACAGGTGTATTAATTTTCAGGGTAAATTACAGGCTATCCTGTAATTTATTAATTGTTCCCCTATTTAAAACAATCTGTTTTATCTTGAAATCTACCTGACTTCCTTGCCATTTGGAAGTTCTATATCTATTCCTGCCTTTTGCTTTGTAGTTAACTTCATTACACATCAACATCTCTGGTTCTGTAATTTCAGTTCTGTAAGTTTGTTTGTTTTTTGTTTTTAAGCTTTTATTGTGAATTGAGTGAAAGTTTACAGGGCAGATCATCATTTTTACATTCAACAAATCATACAGCTTTTTCATTACAATGATTATAATTCCCTCCATTACCATCAGTTAACAGTATTTCTATTTACTTTAGCTCTTTTTTAAAAAACACTCAGGCATATACAATAATTTAAACCACGAAAGGGCACAGTCTGCAAGTCTGCCTCCTTACCGCCAGCTCTCAATCCCTCTCTTTCCATGAATCTAGCGTCCTCAGCTGCTCCCTATCTCCATGTCCCACCTCTGCTTCCATCTCCGATGTCGCTGCTTCTCTGGGTAAGGTCTCGTATTCTGCTTGTGCTCTTCCCCCTTGATGGTCCTAGGGTCCTTTGCTTCTGGACTATAAGATTAACTACTCCCCCGTTTTTGTTACATAACTTCTACCTTTACAATTGTGACAGTCATAATTAGTCATGATAACTATTACACACTATTGAATCATACTTTTCCCCATCTCATTTAACCAGACCCACCTAGAAATAAAAACTATTCAGTGGAGACTCTTTCTTCCCCCACACACTCTTAAACTAAACTCCCTCTTGAAATCTTGTAAGTCAGTCACTTTGTGCCTTTATCTCCCCTTCATTTTAGGTGGTGGTGGTGGGTATGTTCTGTGGAGTCAGTTCCGCCTCATAGGGGCCCCATACAGGGTTTCCGAAGCTGTAAATCTTTTCAGGAGCGGAAAGCCTCTTATAGTTTCGAACTGCTGACCTCACTGTCTCAGTTGCCTGTCCCTATCTACCCTGTATACAGCGTGGGTAGCATTGATACTTGATGTGAAGACTCCTTCCCTCTCTGTTGGCATGTAGAGTTACTACCTCCATGAGTATAGGTCAGGTTCATCAAATTGTAGTAATTTACCCTTGTTTCTTTTATCAAAAAAAAAAATTTTTTTTTTTTTTTTTTTTTTAAATCTTCCTCTAGTAAAGTTCTCTGGAGCCCTAGTGTGGTGATGTGAATTAATGTGCCAGACTGCAAAGCTGTTTGAACTGCAAGGTCGGTGGTTCAAGCTTACCAGCTTCTCCTCGGGTCACTATGGGTCGGAACCGACTCAATAGCACTTAACAACAACAACAGTAAAGTTCTCTGGTAGTATAGTGGTTATGAATCAGGCTGCAAACCGCAAGGTCAGCAGCTCGAAACTACCAGCTGTTCCACGGGAGAAAGAGGAAGCTTTCTGCTCCCGTAAAGATTTACAGCCTTGGAAATCCTTCACAGAGTCGCTATGAGTCCATGGCACTTAACAACAAGTAAAGTTCTGATTATCAAGCCATAGAGGCTAAGTCAAATGGGTACTATCTGCAAGTTTGGGTGTTCTTGCTATAGGTTTGTTTTACTTTAACTACTTCTATATCGGATTGAGGTCTAGTGTTGCCATGTGTGGTAATCTCAGGTTGTTGGTTCTCAGTCCAAAAAACACCCATTAGCATTTTTGTAAAATTGGTCTGGTCATTACAAATTCCTTTAATTTCTCTTCATCAGGAAATTACCTTATTTCACTGTTATATTTGAGGGACAACTTTACTGGGTATATGATTCTTTCCCATCATCTGTGAGAAACTGCTCTTCAAGGCCACCTTCCATTGCCAAAACTGCTCACAAGGTGGTTGTGGAGCATCTGGCAGGCCATTCGCCAGTCTCCCTCTCATGCTGTCCTTGCTCAGCTTTTCCTCACGGCAAGCACTCAGTTCACTTCTCTAACCCTTCCTCTGAAGTTCAGGGATCCTGTTTCACTTGGTCTCTCATATTTTTGCTATCGAGGGTCTGTGTAGTGCACCTGCCTAGTCTGCTATCTTTCAGGAAGTCTCCAAATTCTGCCTATCTTTTCTCTTCCCAAGTGTCATGTCTTTCACCTTCCCAATGTGTTACACTTTCCCAATTCTCTGGAAGGACAGTCACACTGTTCCAGGATGCTACTGTCAGCTGTTGACAGTCCTGTCTTGTAGTAGGCACTCAGTTAACATTTGTGTAATGAATGAACAAGAGGACTAATGAAAGTGGCTGCTAGTCCCAGCTCAGCCTACAAAAATGCCCTGTAATACAGTGAATTATGTGTACAAATGCAAGGGAGGCAAAAGGAAATGGGCATATGGCAGACAGCTAGGAAAAGGGTACCTATTAACAAAATGAATAAAAAAGTGAAGCATGGTTGCAAGTCATAAAAATAGGATGTTTATCGTTCTACTTTATAAATCTGTGAAATCTATACAAAGAATAGTTTTATCTAAAGAAAGAAAATTATATATAACAAACATGGGGGTAAACCTCAGTAAAATTGAGGCACTCGTATATCTGAATAGGGTGACTTCAAATCTGAATCAAGGCTCCATTTTAAATTGCCTTAAGTAAGAAAAGACCCCAAAATAAATAAAAGAGAAAGAAAAAAGTATGCTATGGAGACTGCTAAGTCTTAAACAAGATTTAAAGACAAAACACTAACAGATAATCCAGATGAAAGAAATCAATAAGATGACGCCATAATGAAACCCAAATTTCCACCTCCTTGTGGCACAGAGAACAAAGGGAGCTCCTCGCACAGCACAGCTGCAGGCAGTAACATCTCACTTCCAGGGGCCAAGCTGGGAGTCCTGGTGTGGCACTGTGGATTAATGCACTGGATCGCAAGGTCAGCAGTTCAAGCTTACCAGCTGCTCCTCAGAAACCCTATACAGGGGGCTGCTATGCGTGGGATGGACTTGACAGCACTTAACAACAACAACACAGGCTGGGCTATGGGAGCTATGGAGGGGCCCATTGTAGATGGGAAGCTTTATGGACTGCCTCTGAGGCATGATGTCACAGTCATGTGACCCCCGGCAGGCACCCAGATTTCCATTTGGCTGTGAGAAGTTTCTGTTGTTCTTGTGTTGGTTGAGGGAAGGGGCCCTAAATCCATTTTCAAATACACTCTATTTCTGACTTTGGCATTTTGGCCATCAGAGATGTAAGAGGTAATCAGGAAAAATTGGCATCTGAAACTTCAATGAAGGCACAAAATGAGACTAAGGCTCTGGCTTGCTGTGGTTGGCTGAGGCTGAAATGCTCACAGATTTCAAGCTCTCACCTAGATGGAGAAATACTTAGTGTTTGTTAATCTCACTAGTTTAGCTGCTCCTGGAATCACCAGGCAAATGTGTCTAGGCAGGCAGTGGTTACTTCCCCTTAGCCAGGTAAACAATGGTTTACATTTCAAAAGTTTCAGATTATAGTTGATACAAATTTCTTTCTTAACCCAGTGAATCCAGGCTCCATTTCAAGAACTGACCTGATCTACATTTAATCATGAAACCCTACACAGAGTTCCTATGAGTGGGAACCAAGACTCAGTGCTAGAACAAACATTCAGTCACAAGACGCCCACATCAAAATATTTACATAATGGAATTTAGAAATGGTCAATTGGTATCAGGAGACAAGGAGTCCTGGTGTGGCACTGTAGGGTAGGTGCAAGACTGTGAACCCAAAAATCAGCAGCTCAAATCCACCAGCTGCTCCTTGGAAACCCTATACAGGGTCACATTGAGTTGGGACTGACTCCATGGCAGCACTTAACAAAAACAAAACAGAATTGTTACGAGAGTGTGTGATCTGACAGCTCTTTGTACGTTTTCTTCTCTTCCTTTGTATTTCTCCCTTTGATGTGAAACCTTCCCCTTTGTGTATGTTAAGAAATAAGAACTGGCTGTTTCTCCTTCAAAGGAGGACACTTGTGCATTTTCTCATAAGATGTTGTGTGTACTCCATTTCATGATTTGCAATTATTCCTTCAATAAAACCTTTTATTTTCAAACAGAACATTAGTTTAGTGTTTATATTAAGACTAAGCTATACAAATACTGAGAAATAAAAGATGGTTCATCCACGAGTTTAAAAGAAGAGATAAGCATATTGTAGCTGAAATATCAGAAGTGTGAGAAACACTGTGTGGGCTTGATGGAACTAGACGGGCAGCTTAACTGAGCATCCTCTCCGCAAGGGATGAGTGTCTTGGGGCAGCGCTTGAGGGTTGCTCAGGATTTCCTGGATCTTGTCCTGGCAAATCTTGTTGGCCTCTACTCCGGCTTCAAACTCTCGGCGTATCTCTTCCTTCTTAGCTTCTCGGGCCTGCTGCTGGGAGGCTATTTGCATCTGCAGTTGCCTCCTATATTCCTGGGCTAAACCACAGCGCCTAAAGTATTAGAAACATCAAGGTATAAAATGATCAAAGTCACAATTTGGATTTATATAGGGCATTATAATTTGAGTATCATTTGCAAAGTCAAATTAAAATTCCCATGAAAATTAGGGTGAGTAGGGAAGAAAATAGATGAAAAAAATTCAGTTCTGCATTTCTTACACATAATAATTGAGGTAATCTTAGAAGAAATTCTGATTTTAGAGAAGGAATAATCTTTCCTGCTAACCCTATGTGGAGGGCATTCTTAACTTGGCTCCACCCCCTGCTTCCTCCTCTAGATAAGGAAGAAGTCACTTATCAATTGGTAAAACTGGGAAAATGAACAGGCACGCTCTGTCTAACCCTTCCCTTTCCTACATGGAAGCTGATGTTCTCCGTAATTCTATCTAAGGGGTAGACCGTAGTAGTCTAGCACTGCTGGTGATGGGCTGGGTCAGTTTGCCATATTTGGTTATGTCTCAACATTCCCAACTTCTTGCATATATATAGATGATACATTTTTAATACATGAGACATATTTTAATATCAGCTTTTACCAGAAACAAAGACAATGGTGTGACTATCCCTCTGAGACAGACTGTGTTTTCCAGAGATGGCTGTAGTTATATCTCCCTTCCCACAGGCTCATCTGCAATGTGAACTTGCTATCCCCTGATCAAGATGCAGAGCTTATTTCTCTATCCCCTTGTATCTGGCCGGTGCAGCATCTTTTATGATGAACAGAAGAGGGCAGAAGTGACCTTCGACAGGCCTGGCAGCAGCTACTTCCTGTTTCTTGGACTGATCATTATGGAGACTCTGCCCTTGCAAACACAGCCGCCATACTGTGAGAAGTCCGAGCCACACGTGTAGGTGTCTGAGTAGGTGACACCAGATGAGATCTCTGACTACAGCCAGCATAAACCGCCTGCCATGTGAGTGAGTATCTCAGGATCAAGGAAGGTCGCCCAGCCAACATCTAACTCCAACCACAGACAGATTCCAAACAAGAACTGTCCAGTTAAACCTGGTCTACCCACAGAATCCTGAAATAATTCTAAATTTCTTTAGCCACGTTTAAAAGGAAAAAAAAATGCAGCTGTAAGTAACTGCAACACACTTTTTTTCCCCTTATCTCGCCGTTGATTCAGAAGTGGAGCAAAAAAGGTGCCGTTTACTGAGTTCGCCTCAAATGTCCAACAATAGACTTTAGAAAAGTGAGGCGGGGGGCGAGCAAACTAGATTACTGGAACAGAGGGTCCAGGAGGGAAATACTGAGACTGCGCATTGTGAAGAATGTAGTGCCACAGAGGAATTGGTGTAGAGGTGGTTAAATAGAAACCTTTTTAAAAATAAACTTTTTCTTGCGAATTGAGTGGGGGTTAACAGACAAGATCATCCGTTTTATATGCAACAAATCACACACTTTGTTTCATCTCAGTGACTGCATTCCCTTCCCTGCAACAGCAGTTATCCCGGCTTCCTCCCTGTGGTTCCTATGTGCATTCCACCCTCCTTCCCAGCCCTTCTCAACTCTGTCCTTAGGTACACATTGCTCTTTTCATCTTCAATGATTGATCATTCCATGCTGAGTATGCCTTACTCTTGTTGCCCTCACTCCCAACCTCCCACCCCACTATATACCTAGCTACCGTTTGACTGAAAAATGAGCTACAAGGCTGAGTTCTTTTCCAAACCTGAAAAGTAGTCGAGGTAAAGTTTTAGTCTCAGGTTCTTCTAGTCTCTTTCTGACCAATAAACCTTGTCTTTTTTGCTTTTAATGTAATTTTTAATTTGTTCCACATTTCCTCCTTGAATAGGAATTTTGCTGTGTAAACTTTTACCAAAACTATAGTAAGATATTTTTAAAATAATAGGAAGGAAATGGTTAAGTGTGAAGATACCTGATGCCTGGAGCAGAAAGTTAGTAGGTTAGACCAGATATTCTTGTCCTCCAAGCTGACAAAAGGTTCAGGTACATAAATCATACTCTTTTTAAGAAAGGAGCTTCTTTCTATGCATCATGATAGTGTGGGTGATTCAGCGAGTGGGTGAAGGGTGACCAGCAATTAGAGGAGCCCGGCTCACTTCTGCCACACCCCTGGCCACTTGAGCTCGAACTGTGGCCATTACTGAGAAGGCACGGCTGAGGCTCTGTTCCTCCACCAGAGCCTAGATGTGGTGCCTTGGGGGACTAGCCCAGGCACTTCTCAGAGGAAGACAGTGGCATTTCCCAAAGAACTCAGAGCATTTTCGTTTTCCAGTCCAGAGAGGCTAGGAAAATCCTCTTGGGGATATTTGTATGGAATTCTGATTCCTCCTGTGATGCTGTAGCATCAGCACTGGACTGAGAACCACAAGGTGATGGTTCACACCCACCTAGCTGCCCCTTGGGAATCCTATGCAGGCTTGCTATGAGTAGGAACCAACTCCATGGCACTTTACAACAAATGGTCTCATAAGCCATTACTGCTAGCCTAACTGACTAGCCATCCTACCTCAGGATTTTCATTTAGAAAAATTATCCTTGTTATTTCAGTAGGATATAAGGTTGGTGTCTATTTTTATATGAAATTTTGTAGATTACTGTGGCCTATTATGGTTATTTG